TACAAGTATCATAATATGATCTTGAAGGATATAAATGGATCAATCTACTTATAGTCAACTGGTTTTAAATTGAAAACTCATGTATGTATTTAAGATCTTGGGAAAATGATTTTGTTTTTTACGTACCGGTAGGAGATAGGAGGAAGATGGAGATGCAAACGACGGCTACTGCAACAACAACAACTTTGCTCAACCTTAAGCTCCCCATTGCTAGCTGATATCTCTTTGTAATATTTTAATAGCAAAAAAGGGTTTTATTTATAGCACTGGAGGCTAGAGGGAATCAAACATCTAACTTTATTTTATTTTACATTTACTCTTCACTACTTGGATCGTATTATTCATTTCTAAAACTATCCACGACGTGACCACCTCGCCTATTATTCTAATTTTCCACACACAAATCAACCGTACTTTTTTAAAACATATGCTCACTCTATGTCCATTACATAAATGTACACTAATATAAACATACACAATATGCTAACATTTTGCATTCCATTTGTTGTAGATTCGAACGTAACTTCAGGATTTTAGCCTAGAATAATAATTGAATCGTATTCGAAAGCACTTTCCTTAAAGAGTATTTCTACCCTCTTCTCAAGTCTTGGGTTACACGAAATCCTTTCTAGAATACGACAATCAAAGTTCTCTCTTGTTCTAGGCTAAGATCCAAGAGAAACAAATAGAGATTTTGTTCTTTGCTTTTGTGTTTTACCAAAGATCTCTATCTTTGGTCTTGTGGATCTCTCTTCTTCCTCTCGTTTCTTCTATCTCTTTTTTTGATGCAAAGGAACAGAGCTTTATAGTGCTTCAAAGGTTGCGACGTACGTTTGCAACCATAGGTTTATAAAATAACCATAAAATCAACAATTGCAATGGTTAATAAATAACCGCCGATTCACTTAAATTTCCAACATTTCTTCTCCATTTAAATGTAATCTTTGATTCACAAAATCAACAACACATAAGCCAAATTCATGCATAAATAAAAATATCGTAACGATTGAATTAACATCTTAGTGTTATTACACATTTCAAATATCTGAGAATTAGGATGTCCAATGGATTGAATCCTTTCAACTCATTTCGGGTACGTACATGAAGATAATACACACACGAATACACTACTCTAAGTGTTTATCCTTGACACTGTTACAAGCCATGTGTCCCTATCCTTTTACGAGCGTATACAAAGCTAAGTCCAAGGTCCTTGAAGCCGCTACACTTCACATTCGTATAGGTAGATCTTTTTAGTCATGCACCTACAAAATGCACTTTGTCAATAGATCTATTAAGAAGAAAATTTCAGCCTAACTTTCTCTTGCAGGTCTAAGCACATACCTTGGGATGTTATGAAATTAGTGCTTCAATCTCTAAATATAGGTTTTCCACATTGAATTCAGCCCCTAATGTCATATTAGAGGGGGAATTGGGTTTTCTATAATTAGAAATTTCATA